CCCCACCTCGTCCGCCCCTCCCTCGTCCGCCCCTCCCACTTATCTCGTCGCTCAACTTCTCACTTCTCTCTACCCCCCTTCTCCATTCCTCCTTCCACATCCCCACTCCTCCCCCCCCGCCCTCTCCCTCATCTTTCCTATTCTCTCGTCCCTCCTCCATCCTTCCCCACCTCCATCCTCCACTCCTCCCCTGTCCACCCTCCTCCACTTCCCTGTCTATATCATCCTCCTTCCATCCCTCCTCCCTCTCTTTTGCCTCCTCCGTCCTCCATCCGTCCTCCTTCTCTTTTCTCTCCTCCCTCCTCCGTCACCCCTCCTTCTCTTTTGCCTCCTCCTTCCTCCCTCCTCCATCGCTCCTCCTTTTCTTTTCCTTCATTCCTCCTCAATCACTCCTCCATCCCTCCCACCGACCACTAGGTGTGGGTACGTTCGCCTACGCCTACATCACAGATATCCTGCTGGAGTCGTACGGCTGGCGAGGCACGGTGCTCATCCTGGCTGGTCTGCTGCTCCACTGTGCTGTCTGTGGCATGCTCTTCAGACCCCTGCTCACTGTCCGCTACAAACGGCCTAAGGTGAGCTTGTTGGATTATTTGCTGTGGTTGTGGTTGTGGTTGTTCTGGAGACTGTTGTTGTTGTTTTGGTTGTCATTGTTTTTGTTGTTGTTGTTGTTATTGATGATGTAGTGGCGGTTGTGGAGATCGCTGTTGCAATTGTTATTAGTGGGAGCTATCCCGAAAGATGACTTTCACTTATAAAGATTTTAGCTTGTACAGGAAAGCCAAAAAGAAAAAAAGTTACCCCCCCCTCCCACACAAACTTTAAAGAAAGACCATCCCCTACCCCCGAGCCAAAAAAACGAATTTAAACAATCATTAGAAGAAAAAATGATACCCCCCCCCAACCTTCCCAAACAGCTCCCCCTAATAGAAGGGAGAAAGAAAAAATATAAAGATAAAATATAATAAAAATGAAATTAAAATTAATATAGAAACAAATGAATGTAAATAAACAAATGCATTTTTATTTCGTCCCCAGAGTCTCTCAGCCTCCAGAACAGATGTCCAGCCCTCTACCTCCCCGCCAGAAACCAGCTCCAAGGATGATGACCACAGTGCGTCCAGCGGTTACTCCAGTCAAAACCCAACGGAGGAACTCTCCAAACCAGAAGACGTGGCAGGAAACCGCGACGCCGAGCGGGAAATTAACGCCAACGATGGCGGGGGCGGTGGGGATGGTGAGGAAGTCGACAAGTCCTCTCGTTGTTTTCATGAGCAAGATTCAGCGCTAAGTACGTCGAAGTCCGCTTTATCAGAAATCCGACATTCTGAGAACGAAGATTCTTCAACGCCTAAATCACAGGTCGGAAATGAAGAAAGCAAAGGGGGGTGCTGTGAGAAATATGATGTAGATAATAACACAATAGGCGTCGGCAATAATAATGATCACTTTCCGGATGTACCCACCCCACACTCGCATGGAGTTTCTATATCCCGCTCTGACCACTGTGATTGTGAGAGAGCGAGGTCGAGTTCTGTGAGAGTCGGAGAGACCTCGGATTGTGTGGGTGGGAGGACAGACGCCGATGGGGGCGGTGGAAACACGCAGATGAGGCATCTACCCGTGCCTACATTAATGATCTCAGAAGCGCCGTGCAGTTCGAACAACAACGGCAGCAGTGCTCACCTACCTCAGAGACAGCCTGAAAACGGCGTAAATGTCAACCCGGGTAAACATCTACGTCGCTGCCCGTGCTGCTCGGCCGTACGGCGCGGGAGCTACTCGCATGCGCATGGCAGCAGAGACGGTATATCGCCGAATGAGAAACATCTCCAGAAATTTATTGCTCAGAATCGTGAAGACGTCAAGTCTTTGTCGTCATCCAACAAGAAGCTCATCCTTCCATGGTTTTACAAAGACGTTGAACCCACTGACGGGGTAGGTGGTGGTAGTACCAGTGGTGGTGGGGGTAGTGGTTGTGGTGGTTTAATGAGTTTCAAATTAAAACCACTCGGGCGTCTGTATAAGAGTGTTGACCACATCCACCACGTGGCCGAGAAAGGGGGCGGGGGCGAGAAGTACATACGTCATCACGAAATCTCCGCCCCTCTTACCACGCCCAGGCTTCTATCCAGCGAGTATAAGCTCAACGACTTCACCGACAGTAGAGCGATGTCTTTGTTCGGCTTGAAGAACCCCCACGACCCAGGGTCTGAGTTCCCCAACAGGGGAGGAGGTCACACAGGAAGCAGGAACGAAGTCGTCCAAACCCAGATGTACAAAGGTCTGATCAAGCCAATCTTGAGGAAAGATATTTACTACAGCGGTAGCGTCAACCACCTTCCTGCCTACCAGCACTTCGGCGGAAGTTTGACGACTTTCATGGCGGCTATGACGCGCTCCAGCAGCGCAGAGGACAATGACGTCATCGCTATGGCGGAGAAGGACGAGGCGTGCAGCGGAGAAGGGAGTCGATGCTGTACAAAGCTCAAGCGTATCCTTCCTATGAAGCTACTGGGGAACTATCAGTTCCTTCTCTTGTTGATCACGTTCACAATGTGGACAGGTAAGACACTATCTTAAAATTACAAAGTTCTATGGGACATTTTTGTCGGTTTGGGGACTATAAGACCATGAGGTCAGTAAGTATACGTGTCCACCAAAATAAGATCACTTCCCGGCCAGGATAACGTTCGACGTTTTTGCATGGTGTAGAGCCGACTCAAAACGATCTGCGTCCACCGCGTCAGATCAGACAGGCCTAGCATATTTTAGCCCAGTGTGTTATGATTACAGGAACAACAGACAGCACAGGCGACTTATTTATTTATTAACATTTTCAGCATTGTTTCTGGTGCTTAGATCTATAGAGACATACGTATAGGTCAAGACAAGACTGTCTTTAAAATAAAATTACGGAGAGCCTAGAGTCTATCCCTGGCATACATTTTAGTTCATACGAGCCGGGTAACTCCGCGCGAAGGCTAGGTCTAGCTCTCTCGAGAACGAAATAATCTAGGTCAAGTGCTTTAATTAATTTTGTTGTTGTAGTTTGTTTTTTTACATTGATAATGTAAAGTGTAATAAAGAAGCAAAAATGTACTTAAAAATGCAAATTTCCTTTCAAAATGAGTCGAATGGAGGCTTTCTTAGTCACCTGTACGGCTGGCGAAAAAGCGTGAATGCAGGAAAGTCGCATAGTCAGGCAAAGGAAGTCCGTGACAGACGAAAATGAGCTCATTTGCATATGAGCCTGGCCTGCAACTGACGAAAACTGTCTGTACACTTGGGGCCTTAACAGATGTTTTATCCGATCTGCTCTATCAAAAACGTAAGATTATTCTGAGTCGTTATTAAAATAATGAAGGAATTGCATTAGAACAAGCTCGGCATGTTGTGAAACTCAAACTTTTTCAACCTTAGATTTCTCAAAACTAGGCACTGAGCAGATATAACTTTCTATACCTAGGGTAAATAAATGCATGTTATGCTAATGTGTTCAAAGGAAGTTGCTAAATTAGTAAAATATGGCAAACATTTTTTTCACAAAGATTTGGTCTCATCGGCCACTGCAGAAGCCCAAGTAGTCTTAAACTTTGATGATTCTCCTCATTCTTATATTTCATTCTATTCAGAAATATTCTTTTCAAGGGTTGTATTGGTCATCATCAGACATTGAAGGACGAGCTATTATTATTATTA